CACTAGGACATTCTGTGGATAAACTCTCATAGGCAGTGGTCTCCAAACTGTGGTCCTTTGCTTATTTTTTATCTGGCCCCTGGGGAACTATTCTCCCCTCTGCTAAAAAGGCACTATTGCTCATAACGACACCAATAATGGGGTACTATCCCTCCCACCAACAATGGGGTACTATTCCTCCCACCGACACCAGCAATGGGGTACTTTTCCTCCCCCTAATGCCAAAGATGGGGCATTGTTGACTCCCACGGATTTTCTACTCCTACTGACCAGTCTGCCCCACCCACATGAAAGAAAAATACATTTGAAATATATTTAAAAAATATTCTTCCCAAATATATTGACATATATTTGAAATACTACAATTTTGGCCATATTCAATATATTTCAAAATATATTTAAATACATAAATAAAAAAAATTATATTTTTATATATAATACATTTCAAATATACTGTATGTCTTTAAAAATACAAATCTACATTTTTGGAATGCATTTACAAATATATGTAAAAATATATGTTAAAATGACTGTTTTATATATTAACAAAATCTGAAGAATATAATTAAAAAATATATATTTTTTAAATATATTCTTCGCATTTTTTTAACATATAAAAAAGTAATTTTTAACATATTTTGTATTAAATAGATTTGTATTTTTAAAGGCACACAGTATATTTGAAATGTATTTAAAAAAAATGTTTTCATATATTTTGTAATAAAAATGCATTTCAACATTATATATATATATACAGTGGGGCAAAAAAGTATTTAGTCAGCCACCAGTTGTGCAAGTTCTCCCATTTAAAAAGATGAGAGAGGCCTGTAACTGGCATCATAGGTAGACCTCAACTATGAGAGACAAAATGAGAAAACAAATCCAGGCAATCACATTGGCCGATTTGGAAAGAATTTATTTGCAAATTATGGTGGAAAATAAGTATTTGGTCAATATCAAAAGTTTATCTCAACACTTTGTTATATATCCTTTGTTGGCAATGACAGAGGTCAAACGTTTCCTGTAAGTCTTCACAAGGTTGGCACACACTGTTGCTGGTATGTTGGCCCATCCTCCATGCAGATCTCCTCTAGAGCAGTGATGTTTTGGGGCTGTCGCTGGGCAACACGGACTTTCAACTCCCTCCAAAGGTTTTCTATGGGGTTGACATCTGGAGACTGGCTAGGCCACTCCAGGACCTTGAAATGCATCTTATGAAGCCACTCCTTCATTGCCCGGGCAGTATGATTGGGATCATTGTCATGTTGGAAGACCCAGCTATGTTTCATCTTCAATGCCCTTGCTGATGGAAGGAGGTTTGCACTCAAAATCTCACAATACATGGCCCCATTCATTCTGTCTTGTACATGGATCAGTCGTCCTGGTCCCTTTGCAGAGAAACAGCCCCAAAGCATGATGTTGCCACCCCCATGCTTCACAGTAGGTATGGTGTTCTTTGGATGCAACTCAGCATTCTCTCTCCTCCAAACACGAGTTGTGTTTCTACCAAACAGCTCTATTTTGATTTCATCTGACCATATGACATTCTCCCAATCCTCTTCTGGATCATCCAAATGCTCTCTAGCAAACTTTAGACGGGCCCGGACATATACTGGCTTAAGCAGGGGGACACGTCTGGCACTGCAGGATCGGAGTCCCTGGCGGCGTAGTGTGTTACTGATGGTAGCCTTTGTTGCGTTGTTCCCCGCTCTCTGCAGGTCATTCACTAGGTCCCCCCGTGTGGTCCTGGGATTTTTGCTCACCGTTCTTATGATCATTTTGACCCCACGGGGTGAGATCTTGCGTGGAGCCCCAGATCGAGGGAGATTATCAGTGGTCTTGTATGTCTTCCATTTTCTAATTATTGCTCCCACAGTTGATTTGTTCACACCAAGCTGCTTGCCTATTGCAGATTCAGTCTTCCCAGCCTGGTGCAGGTCTAAAATTTTGTTTCTGGTGTCCTTCGACAGCTCTTTGGTCTTCACCATAGTGGAGTTTGGAGTTTGACTGTTTGAGGTTGTGGACAGGTGTCTTTTATACTGATAACAAGTTCAAACAGGTGCCATTGATACAGGTAATGAGTGCAGGACAGAGGAGCCTCTTAAAGAAGAAGGTACAGGTGTGTGAGAGCCAGAAATCTTGTTTGTTTGTAGGTGACCAAATACTTATTTTCCACCATAATTTGCGAATAAATTCTTTTCAAATCAGCCAATGTGATTGTCTGGATTTTTTTTCTCATTTTGTCTCTCATAGTTGAGGTCTACCTATGATGCCAATTACAGGCCTCTCTCATCTTTTTAAGTGGGAGAACTTGCACAATTGGTGGCTGACTAAATACTTTTTTGCCATATATATATATATATATATATATATATATATATATATATATATATATATATATATATATATATATATATATATATATATATATATATATATATATATTATGGGCGACACAGTGGCTCAGTGGTTAGCACTTCTGCCTGGCAGTACTAGGGTCGTTGGTTCGAATCCCAACCACGATACCACCTGCCTGGAGTTTGCATGTTCTCCCTGTGCCTGTGTGGGTTTTCTCCGGGTACTCCGGTTTCCTCCCACACTCCAAAAAACATGCAAGTTGGTTAATTGGCTCCTGTCTGAATTGGCCCTAGTATGTGTATGTATGAATGTGAGTTAGGGACCTTAGATTGTACACCCCTTGAGGGTTAGGGACTGATGTGAATGTACAATATATATATATATATATATATATATATATATATATATATGTAAAGCGCTGCATAAATTGACGGTGCTATAGAAGTACCTGAAATAAATAAATATATATACACACACACACACACACACACACACATATATATACATATATATAAATATATTGAATATGGCAAAAATTGTAGTATTTCAAATATATGTCAATATATTTGGGAAGAATATTTCAAATATAATTTTCTTCAATATGGGCACTAAAGTCTGAAAGACAGTAAAATAGCCCTTTGTGTAGAAAGTTTAGAGATCCCTGCTCTTCGGGATGGCTTCGGTTTCTTCCCCACTAGGCACACATGGTCACTAGGCTGCTCTTCTGATTTGGACTACTAACCTCTCTTCCACTCATCTTCATTGCAGAGGGAGGCTCTCTTTTAATTTGTAGCTTACAGAAGGTACATGTGAAAACTGAAGAAATTGTTTGAGACATCAGTTCAGTGCACAGAATGTTACAAGGAAAACTGAATTCTGGCAAGGTCAACTAGTATTTGCTGGGTCTGAAAAAAGAAAACTAATTAGGTCACCACAATCAAGAATTGGTAATTTGCAATATATTACACATTAGTTTTGGGGTTTAGATATCCTTAAATCTTGACAAATTGCACTGGATAAATCAAAAACAAATTGCTCTCAATACAATATATGCAACCTAGCAAAAGAAAAGTAAAATACAGGCAAAACAATGCAGAGCTATAATCTGATATACATTCAACAATTCCACCAAACTTCCAGAAGAAATTCTCTACACAGTTATCCACAAATGCACAATTAATGGATAAAACACTTCAATTATAAAAGTAAAGAGGTTTTATTGTCAAGTATGGTCATTTATCACTATCCCTACAGCAAGTCAGTAAAGGGCTCTCAGATCAGACTGTCTTAACCCTACAAACCATAGAAACAGCAGTAACATTTTTGAAAAAAAAATTCACATTTATTTACTGTCAAACAGGTGTTAATCTTTACATTGAATATTAGTGATGGGCTTTTTATTAACAGCTGAGGTTTAAAAATAAAAAAAAATAAAATAAAAAATGAAATTTTCGCTGAAAATGTACACATTGCTTTAATTATAAAATAAATTAATGGCTAAACATAGGCAGAAAGGTCTTGGAGTAATAATTTGGACTGTTATTAAAAAATATATATATATTTATATGTAGGTCAGGCACTACTTGTTTCAGGGTTAGTGCCAATGATCCCTGTTCAACAATATGCCAGATTTCACCAAACTTGTGCAATTAATGACAATATTGGCTCCTGAATATATAAGAAAATTCTTTTTTTTTTTTCCTCATTTAAACTTAATTTGGCATTAAATAAAAATTAAAAATCAAAAAGTGATTGAAATCCAACTTTCCGTAAAAAATAATGCCTGGATAATGAACAGGATACGTCTCATTTTTTTTACCACAAAGAACAAGCGTGTATAAAAAGAGAAGAAAAAAAAAAAGCTTTGTGCAGTTGATAATTTTCACAATATTTTCTGTCAATCTTTCAAAATTATTTAAATCAACAGTTATAGTTCAAGTTGGACACAAATGTATTTCACCCTAGCAATAGAACAAAATATAATTTATTTTGCCATTTTCATGATAACAGTTCATTGTACAGTTGAGGAAACATATGAAATAAGGCCAGTGGCTTGATTGCTAGTGGTTAGACATGTTTGTTTAATCTTTGCCTTAATGGATAGAATCTGCAGTGACCTGCAAAGCAGGGAAAGAAAATACAAATAAAATAAAATTAAAAAAAAAAAATGACCAAAAAATCCTGCAGACTATTCAGAAACAGCATGGTACAGTAAAACTATCCCACAGGATTTCGGAGCCTACATCTTGTATATAATACAATGCAGGCCTCACAAATTGGCAGCCGTATTTACAAACTAGGTTCCAGAGCTGCTGAACAAAATGGCCGATTTGCTACTTTTATCTCCCCCAAAGTCTGGTCAGAAGCAGCAGCAGCAGATATTTTAAATACCATGTTGGTACCAGTTTGCTTTGTAACAAATATTTTAAGTATACTCTGTGTATATACAAAGTTTTTTTTTTTTCCCCCATTTTCGATTTATAAAAAAAATTCACAGAACTGAAAAAGTCCATAGCTCTCCTACACAATGGAGAGCAGCGTGAGTCTTACTAGGCTGCCGATCACAAATAAGGTGGCCTCAGTTGAACAAAATTGAGTCTTTTAATACCTGCATGAGCCATTTGTACTCCTAAAAATTTATATTAAAGACTTGTGACTAGTTGCATTTGTCCTTCCCTGACATCTCCTTCGGGGACGCAACCTTCCTTGTTTATGGGTATAATGTAGCCATCGCTATTGCCCCTGCTTATCTGGTAGTACATCTGTAGATGGTGTCCAGCTCCGAGATTTGGCATGCTTTTATAATAAACGTCCTCGTTCTCACTCTTCCTTGAGGGCGATAAATCCTCTTCTATGTCAGGGCTACTCTCTGGGTATGGAGAGTCCCGTAGATTGGGCATACTAGTGTAGAGGGAGTCTCTGTTTGGGGATTGAAGATTGTCTTCAGCCTCGGCGGTCAACTGTGACACATAACTGTCTGTTCCTTCGGTCTTCACTTTCTTCTGTGGGTGGTACAGAAGAGAGTGAGTCCGCTGTGGAATTAGCGGTGCCTCCAGCTCTTTGTGGTGGAGTTCCAGCCCCGGGTTGTCGCCGTGCATTAAGGAGGAAGCATCTGCAACGATCGCATCATCTTCACTACTGCTTCCCCCAATGACAGTTTTGATGGGCAGGGAACGCTCCAGGTTGTGGTTCTTGCTACTACACCGCAGGTTGTTGTGCACTAGCTCTGAAATTATCATTTTTTCAAATGCTGTGTCATTCAGACTTAGTCCACAGTCTACAACTTGTACTCCATCACTGTAGTCCCCATTCCGTAGAGAGTAGCTGTTGTTAAAGTTACCATTTAGCGGTAGAGTATCCATGGCACTTGAATCCCTGGCATTGTTCAGTGAATGTCCTGGAAATGAACAGACAGGAACAGTTTAGAAGGCATTTTGTTAACCTGGCTATGTCTTTAGTACATTAAAAGTATTAATGTAGTCTAGGACAAAGTATTCAATATCACAGCTGCTATGTAACAATTTAGAAATTTTAGGTAACAATTTGGAAATTTTAAGTAACAATTTAGAAATTTTAGGTAACAATTTAGAAATTTTATGTGACAATTTAGAAATTTTATGTAACAATTTAGAAGGTGCTGAAACAATTTTGAAAACAGCAAAATATATGTAAAGGAACCTGTAAAAAACGTAAAATGCTCCTTTCTCTGACATTCCCATCTGTAATTAATTGCACACCTTGCAGGGGAATAATTTGGGAACCATTACCAGAACAAGTCAAGTTATCAAGTTTTTGTTGTGTTCACTCCATGCTCTTGCATATCTAATGCAAAAACTTTGGTTGATTTTTTAAATTTATTTATTTTTTTAAATAATTGATTTGTCCTAAACGACACCAGAAAAAGAATACATACAAAAAAAATTGAATATGTATACATCAAATTATAAGCAGATGTACAACCAAAATCAACAAACTGGCAAGCAACTAGTTCAACAATGTTTCTAACGATTCCTTTTTTTTTTTTCTGGGGTGTGGAAACAAACTTAAAAAAGGACAGAATGGAAAATGGACAAATACAAAGACGTTATGGAGAACATAGATAGCCACCTTTCACACTAGAGGCAAAATGTCCCACAAGCATCATCCACAACATGATAGAGCAAGGTGGAATGACTCACTGTGTACCACTCACATTATGGCTGTCTGCTCAGTCTATCTGGGCTAAGTGTAGCTGATATATAAAAGAAAGTAAAATGATTTATTGCACAAGATGGATTACTAGGATTCTCAGCAACTTATTCAGAGCAAGGGTTCAGCAAATGAGATTACTAGCAATAACAGCCTTTGTTTCTGGTTAATGTAATATAGATTGCTCATATTCTATGCGCCAGCAGCAGCCCCAGGCTTTTAAAGAGTCAAGACTTTGCCAGCAGCCCTGCAGTCTGCATCGGTCACAGTGATAGTGCGGAATGAACCCACATGGGGCAATTAGTGAGTTAAAGCCCAGGGTGAGCATCGGGCACCGAGGTCAAAATGCAGAAATGCCAGGAATTTCTGTAAGCATGGTTCACAGAAATTAACCAAATAAATATTGGATGTAGAATGGGGAGATGTCTCTGACATGCTGTCTCACGTACGAAATCGGGGTGGGGGAGAGGGGGAGAGAAAAAAAAAAAAAAAAGTCTACTGCATGTGAGATGGTGTCCTGATGGAAACATGCTCATGTAGACAAAAATGATGTATGAAACACTTATTTTTTTTTCTAAATACAAGAAAAAAAAAAGCAAAAATACAAAAAAAGAAAAAATGAAAAAAATGTTTTTAAATCGAGATGAATATCATTTGATTAACAGACATATGAGGAAAAAAAATGTGAATAAAATAAAGAAAAATATTGATATATTTAGCTTTACAAACAGCCTGTACAATATGACGTTACTGCATTGTATGCAAGACTTGGAGGAAAATGGGACAATGGGTGGGTGTGGCTGCTGTTGGGAATCATGCTTAAGGCTGCAGCCTATTAAGAGCCAATAAATCGACAATACAAATTAGTTCCTGTGAAGAGCACAGATGCAAGGTTCGTAAGGTCTAATGATCCAGGAATTTATTTATTAAAACTATGAAAGTAACGGGACTGTGTAAATTACCCATTACTCATGACTAGTTAAGGATGCTAAGGAAATTCTTCAAAATCAAACATATGATGGCAAAAAAAATGTGCTAACTTAAAAACTAGAGGAGTAAAAAAAAACTGTTACGTTTTAGTCTATTTTTGCCAACTTGGTTTTTAAAACCATAACCATATAATTATACCTATAATATTAATACTGAATAGTTCAACAATATAACAAACTATATACTTCCCTACAATTCCCTGGAATTTTATATACACCTTTGTACTAAGGATCAACTTGTATTTTGGATTTTATTGGCCAATGTTTATTTTCTTTTCTTAATTTTGACAGTTTTTTTTTAGGTATCTATGACATGAGGTATATTAGAGAATATTTCAACAAAAAAAAAAAAAAAAAAACACAAATTGATAAATAAAGTGAAAAATATCACTCTGCGCCGTGCAGATTTCAAGGTGTGAAAAATCAATGACTAAAATCCATGTGTGTTGCTAAACAGGCTTTTTAGGTGTACAAATACTTATCAAACTATGATATATCTAATAATTACTGAATGATCACCTGAACAAAGTTTTGAAGAGATAGAATTAACTAAAAAAAAAATACTTATTTTTTCCCCCCTTTTTGAAATAAATGTGGGAAAATTGTTTTCTCTGATATACTTGCATAAAAGCACAGCAGAATTTTTTTTTTTTTTTATCATTTTTTCTGCTTCTGATCAGGTAATTCACTTGAAGACTTTTCTTAGCCTGTAGCAAGATTACTGTGGGAATGTAGAAATGATAAGCAAATAAAACATTTCTGCTTGACAGCACTCTTTTAAAACAGCAAATTATTTCAGCATTGCAAATATATTACCAACTGAGATTGCAGTATATCCATTGCTGTTATCCAAATGTAGACAAAAAAGTCCAGATTCAATTTGAAATTAATATTACTATGTCTTTGAATACAGATTGTGAACCACTTGCCCGCTGAGTTATTTCATGATTGATAGTTATGTTTTAAATGTGCCTGTTTAAAAACCATGCTGAAAAAATTTACATTTGATAGGCAAAGTTAAGTTTTACTCCCATACTTGTCTCTCTGTAGTTCGCTAGAGGAAAGCATAAGTAAAGAAAAAAAAAAAAAAAAAAAAAAAAAAAAAAAACAAAACAAAAAAAACAAGAGAACAGATAGGACAGACTGACGTTAAAATAGAATTAAGTGTTATGAAATTTACAGTAGCAGAACATTGAATAAAGAATATCTCAATGTCTTATATACTTAAATAAGCAACAAACATATAACATTAACACAACTTTGAACGCACAAATTTAGTTTTAGGTTTAAAAAAAAAACAAACAAAAAGTCTGTCTAATGATACAATAGACAATATGGTTTATCAACCAGCTTAAAGCTGCACTATACTATAATTCATGCCGGTATGCTGCTGTTTTTGTTTTTTTTTTTTTTTTTGGTCACTTGCTAGCAAATAACCTAATCCTGATCCGCCAAGCAATCACCGTGCTTAGTATGATAGAGAGTTGTACCTCTACGGGATAAATATCTTGAGGATGGACTCTTGGACCTTGTGATGTCAGTCCTGAAATAGTATATTAAGATTTATCCCACCTGTGTTGAAAACATGGATAATGATAGGTAAATACTAGTAACATCGCTATATTATAGTGCAGTTTTAAGAGGCCGGCATAGGGAGTGCTGCATGTCTGTTAATATGTAGGACAGACAAAAAAAAAAAAAAAAGAAGAACTGCATATCCATAGGTTTTATGTTTAAGAAGGTGGTGAGTGACAGAGAACAAATGAATTAAGTAGAAGCACACCTGGTGGGTTAAACACAGGAGCAGTAGGGGTATTACATACAACAGTTTCGGCGAGCAGTGTGTTATAAGGGTTGTTAGTGCCATGGGGTCGAAGAAGAGGGTTTGTTAGTAGGTAATTGCCAGTCATTCCTAAGATAAAGAAAACAAAAAATAAATTAATCAGTTCTTGTGGTACTGGCTCAGCACCCTCAATATCCCCTCCCCCCCAAAAAAAAAAAAATAGTCTTCTGTAGGTTTGTGATTTTTGACCAGCCCTTCACTAGTTAAACGTATTTCCAATTAGGGACTATAGTTTAAGCAGCTAAATTCTGGGAGAATTTAAATGTGGTAAAGTTTTTTTTTCTTCTTCTTATAATTCACAGGTGCTTTTTAAAATCCTTAAAGTAAACATCATCTAAGAGTGACATTTAATAATTTACACAAAATTACTGTCAGACAAGAATGGTAATTAAAAGCACAGAAAAATGACGTAATGTTTCAAAATGCATCTGCTTGAAAAAAAGAGAAAAAAAAAAAAAACCTTAAAACCTTTTTTCTCGTGATGAGGGAATTTAATGCTTAATGAATATTTTAACAGTGGGACAATCCCTAATGGAAACATCTGTGTTAATAAAAAGAATGACAAAAATACAACGGAGGAAAAGAAACTAAAACAAAAGAGACTACAGCAAGACACATCCTGCCGTAAAAAAAAAAAAAAAAAAAAGAGAAAAGGAAAAGCTATGCATAGCTTATGCAAAAGAAGGCATGCTGCAGAAGGAAGGTATCCCAAGCATACACTTAAACACAGTCCAAAAATGAACAAAACAAAACGCAGCAACGTTTTGTACAAGAACAATATATTCAAGCAAAATGTATTCAGTTGGGATTGATAATAGTAAAATATATGATATAACAACAAAACTTAAATTTAAGTCTTTATAAACAGAATATATGAGAAAGTGGTGAAAAAAAATACAATTTACTTTTTATTGGGTGATCATTTTTTTTTTTTTTTTCTGTTTGTTGTTTTAACATCTTTAGTAAGTGTTGCAAGGCATTCTAGAGAAATTAAGACACCAAAATGCTTCAGTTTCAGAAACATAATTTACTGGTTACATTTGTTTTAGTACCAGAAAATACATATGTTCCCACCACCCGGGTGTTATTTCAAGCCCCCAAATTAATTGCCCAAAAATGCCCCCAAATTAATTGCCCAAAAATGTCCCCATCCCCCTAACTTGGAGGAGCTGAAAATATTAGAAAATTATACACTGCCAATTTGCTAACACAGAAATTGCCCAAATAAATTTAGAAAACGTTGGGATAGGTCGCTTGCTACCCATGTTCTAGCTCTGACTTCACTTATTTTGAATAGATTATCTTAAAGAGGGGGGGTGACTGACTGGCGTGTTCTATACTAGAGGGTACCAGCCTCCTGGGTACTCATGCTGACTGGTTGGTTACAATATTGTCTATGGCTGTAAAAATATTTGTACGATTTATAAGGCATGGCATGTTTGAATGTCTTTTTTTTTTTTTTCTTTAAGTGTTTAGTTCATGTATAAGTCCCATATGGGTATAATCATTTTAACAATAATTCAGTAGAGACATATTGGATTTTTCCTGTATAAAAATGATATAATATGTCATTTGGATAATTGTATTTCTGAAAAGTTTGTAATTATATTGCTAAATGATTGTAACTGTGAAGTGAGATTGGATTGTATGGTTGTTGGTTTTGTAAAAAAAAAATGTTAAAATGATTTGGATTAAAAAAAAAAAATGTTTTAGTACACAAGGAAGCACCAAAATTGCAAAACTATAAAAAAACAGCAAAACATAAAAAAAAGCTAATCATCTATAGTTAAATTTGGAAAGGGAAAATTTTGTAAAATTTAAGTATAAAAACAAATTCTAGGCCAACTAGTTTGATACTTTATATTAAACAGCAGCATGTAGGGGGGAAAAAATCCAAAATTTCCTAGGTTTTAGTCAAAAATGTACAGTCCATTTTTCTGATAGTTTCCTGCCTGGCTTTTGCCAGTTACTTAGTATCAATCAAGGTTAATTTAGCTCTGATAAAAAATATTAATATGCGTCTGTATGACCACAGATCCAAATGTTTAACATGTGCACTAAAAGAAATTAAAAAATAAATAAAAAAGACTGGTGGGTAATTACCTTGATTAAGGGTAGACGTACTGTTTATGTCACCTGAGATAAAAGATGATTCTGATTGCTTCCTCACTGTGTCATTCCACATTCTTCTAATTCGACTCTGTGAGCACACAAAAAAAAAAAAAAAAAAAACCTAAAATTAGTTCTTGAATTTTTGGCCAGCATGAATGGCAGTTTTAGCATACTGTGCAATTAGCTGAAAGTATCTATCATATTCCAATTAGAGTAGTTGCAGTTAAATTTTGGGGCATGCTAATTGATTACTGTTGAATATGTTTAAGAGGTAGAAAAAAAAAATAAAAATAACAGAGATGCAGGAAATATTTAAAACCGTATCACTTTGGTGAAAAAAAAAAAAAAAAAAGACAGCAAAACATGCATTTGCCATCTAGATCACTGTAATGAGAAGACAATTAGTGTATCTCAACTGTGAGTCTCTAAAGGGAAGCTATAAATAAGGTTAATTAAAAATGCTGTCGACTTCTTTGTCACCTGGGTGCCGGAAGAGTATCGAGCGCTGGTTCTTGCCGTCGATGCTTTAACCACGCTGTGGGGGCTTTCGGTTGGAAGACCTCCGCAGCAGTAGGTGTGCCTGAAACACTTGCTGTACTCTTTGCGCACCTGTAAAAAGAAAAGGCTTTTTGAACGAGGTAGGAGGGAAAAAAAAAAAAAATACAAAAACGGTCTTTTAATCTAGCACAATTTAATGGGTTTGTTTACCAGACCATTGATTTACTGTAGTGGAGTCAACAAAAGTAGCAGCTGACATTCTTCGAGAACTTAATTAGCATCTGTCTTGAACAGCGGCTCTCCAGGGTCATAATGAAACATAAAAGTTTCTTTCATTAACTAAACTTTCGACTCAACTGCAATTCAAAGATTTACAGAAATGACATTTTCAGCTGAAATGACCACAAGACAAATCACATGCGGTAACACAAATGTGATTGTAAAAGCTGTCCAGGATTCTAAGACACCCCAAATAAAAAAAAAAAAAAGAAATTAGTTCTAGCACATAAAATTAAAGCAAAGTTATAAAGTTGTAAGGCAACCGGTTGCATGAAACGGAATATAGTTTTGAGACACCAAAATGTCAAAAGACGTGCTATATAAAAACAATGCTTGTGGTTCTTCTGTCTTAAACGTGTCTGAAAGAGAAGCATTTGAAAAGGCCACAGAAATCAAATTCTTCTGTTGTTTATAGGAACTTGACTAGTATGGAAAATGCTTTTTGTTATGACAATTTTTATACTTAAGGCCCCAGTAAATTTAAAATACAACGGAGGCCAGACAATAGACTTAAATATTTACATATTTTTTACAAATAGAATGTAAGCTTTAAAACAAACCCCTGCTGACCTTTGTAGCTGCAGGAACTGTGGAGCAATGAATTCTCAAAGTTTACAATAAATGTAGTGAATTTGTTTAAAGCAGAAATAAACTCTTTAAATCAATGTTAAAGCAGTAGTAAAGTCCAACAATAACCGCTGTCAGCATTTCTATCTACCCCCGGTCTTCTTGCTCTCTGGATGTTGGAATGGTCAGGCTGCGATGACTTGCGCACGGAAGTCAGGGTCAAGGCACAGCTCTCTCAATGGACAGCATACTCCAGTGTGAACATGCACCGGTGATCTAACCAGCCGCTACAAATGTGATACATCCCGTGAGTCTTCATAGCATTTTTTTTTCCTTTCATCTCAGTTTTTCCAGTTCAGCACCCCCTCCTGCTTGCTGCCTGAGCTAAGGGCAGACAGTTCTAGGAAGTAAATGCTACAGGAATTATCTACCCTTACTCAAGATGGCTGCAGCTAGAAATGCTAGGAGGTGTTTTTCAAAGCAATTTCTTAACAAAATACAGCATGGAGACAGGGATGAATGGATTAGTTTGCTTTGAATATAACAAATGAATTAGAGTTTTTGGCTTGTGGTGGCCAGATACAGTTTAGTTCCATTTTAAGTCAGGTCTCAACACTCTACTATCCCCTTCTTTTCGTGTTTATATTAGAGTCCCTGCTGAGAGGGGGGGAGCAGAGTTGCTGAGAGTGCATTTACTAGTACACAATTGATGATGAATTGCTTCATAGTGCCTGCAGGTACAGAGGTCAGCAGGCGTTTGTTTTAAAGCTCAATGACTGTCCATTAACAAAATGCAAATATATATTTGTACTATAAAATAAAACATTTGGTTAAAAATACTCTGATTTTGGACGTGAACACACTTATTTTGGGTCATGTTACTGCTCACACCAAGAAACCACCAGCCTTGCAAGCATGCAGGTATAGCATGTGTGAAATAGAGCTGAAATTGACATACCCCTTCCCAGCACCACTATCGATAACCCTTAAGCTACATTCACATGGGTGGACAAGGATACATAGTATGCTTCATTTGGGGGGCCAAATGCTGCATCTGGATGCAAGCTTCAGACAGTTTGTGTGTTGCCAGAAACTCCATAGAAAGGCAATCCCTGGACACACACTGTGCTCCTAGAGTCGGTTGGATGGTGTAACCACTCAGATGAGCTGTTTCACACAAAGAGCAACAGCACCGGCCATTGACCTGTAAAGTGTACAAATCTGACAGCTGCTGCTGTTCACACACTGTGTGTGCATGCAACGTTTAGATCCACCAACAAGAATATAGCGATCCTCTGTGTGAATGTAGATTCTTTCAGCTTCTCTGTTCTACTGGAACTGGAAGTAGACATTTGAAATGCATCACCCCCTTCTAACATGCTGCTCCTACCTTCAGACAGCACAGCTCTCTAAGAGGACCATTACATCTTAAGGAACAAGACACAAGTCTACTGATTTACAGATTCCTGCCCAATAAGTTTACCACCCATTATTTTTGGCGTAATTCCCCTCTTATCATGAGAAGTGGCCAAACAGCATGGCCCCTTTTCCTCCAGATATGGATCCCAACCTTTCCAGGCTCCCATGGGCAATGGCTCTGATAATCATGTCAGCATGGCTCTTGCAACTAGCTGGTCCATCCCGCAGTATTAGTGATGTAGCCAGATACCATGAGATATGGTCTCTCCTAATGTTGCGTGATCATACGACATCCATTCCTATATTAAACATGCTGAAGGAAAGGAAAGCCCAACACAGTTTCAAGGAATATTTAAGGAGTAGTGCAGGGGAGCCTGTGTAACATGGACCTTCAGGGAAGAAAAATGCCCAGGTCTCCACCCTGGGTTCTATTACTCTTATCCTCAACACGCTACTGCTGCATGCCCAGGATACAAGGGCCATAATGGCAGACATATGGGCGTTTTTTACGATGACTTGTAATTACTCTGGGCAGCAATGAAATGGTCGATTAACAACAGCAGAAAAAGGATCCTGGTGTAGCTTACAGAATAGGGGTCCCTTTGTATTATTTCACCGGAGGGTCAAAAGGCTTGGCCTATTTTGAAAGAATACCTCTACTTTATTAAGAAACCAGGATATTTTTCTTGTTAAATGAGGATATAAGTTACTGAATACAACAGGCACTTTTACTTTTTTTTTTGTTTTAGCAATGATGCTCTCACACATCATGTTTATGCCCTCTGATTCATAACACCATATTCTTACTGAAAGCCTTCACATTGTGGCAGCAGCCAAACACACAGGTGCAAATATTTAACCTAATTCATCAAAGCTGAAAGTTCAGGAAGATAAAGTGCACAAAGCATACTAGTGGTTACAATTATCATAAAAAACCTGATATAGGAACTAGAAGCCAGCAAGTTCTGTCAGTCTAAACAGTGAACATGTTTACAGGAGGAGAGAACGGAGTGGGTGGGTAATGTCCTATCAAAGTGCTTCATCTACTGGTCAACAGGCTATAGAAGCACCTTACACCAAGCCATACTCCTCAACTAAGGCTGCAATCTAGAACTGGGCCACACTGTCATAGGGGCATCTGGATCACAAGAGTGGCCGAACAGAATTTTTACCATTTTTACTACCTTTTTCATAGGTAAAACAGTTGACACAAATATTGGAATTTAGCTTCACGAGGCAAAGGAAGGTCATAAAAAATAAGCCTGAAATTCACATCCCTTCCTCCCTTACCTACCCTTCTCTAATACACAAACCCCCACCCCATTGACTGTATTCTTACATACCATCACACCCATATTGCTTCTGATATCAATAAAGCCCTGTTCTCCATCAATATCTCTGACCCACCCCCCAGGGCATTTTATCGTCATTCCGATAAAATAACTGTAACTACATGGGACTATGGGAAAAATACAAAATTACATAACGCAGTCTGTCATTAGCAATAACACAGTTGTGTTGGCTAAGTCCCACTGTAAGTAGAATCCACTTTGCCATCGTAAGTATCCCTACCCTGCCAATAGATTGGTTATATTTCTACTTTCTGTAATAGGTTGATAACACTGTTCCTTGTGCAGCATTTTCACCTTGTACTCATAGATTTCTTAAATTGATTGTCCCAACCCCTGTAACAAACTTTTGCTGGACAGCTTGGCCTGTTAAAGAAAGGTGAAAAAAGATCCACTGGCAGGATCCGAAAGGATTCCGAAAAAACAAAGATTGCTGTGTTAATGTTAGTGACAGATTGCATCATAGATGTCATTTTTTATTTTACCTGTAATTCCACTTAAAATTCCTCAGAATTCACAGGTTGCACTGCCTGCTATGAGACTTCAAATACTGTCTACATGCACAAGCTACCGGTGCCATTTCTCAAGTCACCGTAGCCTTTACGCTATCAATAAAGGAATTGTGGGACACTCCAAATGATATTATTAAAAAGAAAAGCTTTCTCTTTTCTCTCTTACAGAATTTGAGGTAGAAACATAATGGATATTAACTGCTTCTAAAAACATCATGGAACTAGGACAATACCAATCAAAAAGGTATTTTGTCCAAATAACCCCCATTGCCGGGACCAGCTCCCAACATACCTATATTGCTATAAATGTACATTATCTGTCTGTAGTGCACATCCCTCTGTCATTACTGGTAAATTACAGCTTGCTCGGAGCGGATAGAGACTCAACGCTATCATCTTGTCAAGTCAGAAACATAATAGTTTTCACTTTCACAATTCTATTTCACTGTTCAATCTGATGACGGGCTAGTAATAATGGAATAAAAAAAAAAAAAAAAAAAAAAAAAAAGGAGGAGGCCAGATAAAATATGCAGACAAGGACAGTGTGATATGTGAAACTTTTACACTGCAAAAGACATCTTCTGTTGAATACAAGAAAATCTCCGGAAAGCCTAGACTGTTAACATTGGTTGCCAGAGTAACATTAAGACCTAAGAATACAGAGTTCCAAAGAGGTCATGATTTATGTATGTGATCTATTTTCAAGGTATATACAGCGGTGTAACTATAGGATTTGCAGCAGTTTCTATCATAATGGGGAAATAGGAGAAGACAAATCTCCTTCAACCTTTCTCAGACCCGCTATATACCATTTAGAGTAAACCCGTAGGAAGCCTAAGTAATTTAAACCCAGATTGAGATTAAAAAAAATACCATAAACAGAGGTTAGCAACAGTGAAAACACATGTTCAAATGGTTTGTAGACCTAGAAATATCCAACTATTTAGATGCAAAGATTTATGACTAAAGGTGTATGCAAACTTCAACCTTCCATGTAAAACCTCAAGATTGGCTGAGCATTGGTATGAATGAAGACCTTGCATCTTTTGTGATTTTTTTTTTTTAATTACTATGGGAACATCAATTAATTAAATTTAGGGGGTTAAATAGTTTTCAACAGTTTTAATACAAATTAGTTTATCCTTCTATTATTTAAATACTAACGGAGCTTAGCTGGATTACATCATAGGAAGTGGGGGATTCATTGAGAGCGGAAAGTGAGGACGGTCCCATGGCTTGTGGGAAGCAAGTAGACACATGGCTACGTGGAAAGGGAAGAAAGACAGATACCCATGTGCAGGGAGAGGGAAGGAACAGTCCTCATGTAAGTGCTATAAACAAGAGGAGTTTGTTTAAACCATCAACCTCGATGCATCATCCACTTCAATGAAGAAGCCACTGATTTAAAGGCTAACCCCACCTTTTGCACCATGTTACACTTGTATTCACAGAGATCTGCCAATGAATGAACTAGAAGTCCTGTCTGCCACTTTGGCAGATGGGCTAATCGTTGTCAATGGAACAGGAGTGCAGTGATCACCACACTCATAGCCTGTTGACACTCCAGCTCTCCAATTGAAATAGAAAGATGGTTTCTGTGCATAGGATGACAGAGCTCAATCCCTGCATTCTCAGAATACCTCAAAGCATGGTGCCCTTGGGGGCTTTTAAGACAATCCACTAGTTACATTCTGTATAATTTAATTCAAAATATACACAAAAAAAGTATAATATAATAAAAAAAAAGTCTTAAAAACATGAAAAATTGTGCATAGACTGTATACACATAGTAATGCATATGCAAAAATCACTGCACAATGAGTTCATAAACACAAAAGGGGACTGAGCAACAACCTAGCTCTCAATGTGGTTCATGAATCTCAGTTCACTTCATCAGGAGATACTTTGGCCGACTGAATATACATCATATAATAAAAACAAGGGTAATCAGAAACTACATCCATCAGTCACTGGGTACAATTGGAAACTGGAAATCTGGCCTGGGAGCCAAGAGGGCAGAGAACCACACATCGAGGACACACAGTGGGGGTGGCAGGCTGAGACTGGCATGAGTCTCATAGGTCTGTTATCTAACACAAGGTTCGCATGCATCTACCAATGGTCAAAAAAAAAAAAAAAAAACTTTAAAAATTTAAAAAAAGGCAGCACGAAAGTGCACCATGCTTGCTTGAGGTACTCTCCAACTGAAAGTCCATACCTCAGTATGGACAGAGAGCTGAAGGAAGAGCCTACAGGAGTGCTGATCGTGGGTGCAATTCTCTGCAGGCTCCTTTCGGAAAGAAAAAAAAAAAAAAAAAAAAAAAACACGATTTTCCTGCGCATATATATGTACATGTATTATTTTTTGTTACCCTATTTTGGTAAGTTTGTCCTCATAAAGACTTAATGTTGAAATTAAGTTAAAACTTTTTCTACAGCCCCACATCCCAGTCCATTCTACTGGAGGATAAGGCTGCCCAATACACAAAGGACCAAAAGGAAGTTAACAATGTTAAAAGGAAAGCTTTACTTTTTTTTTTTTTTTAAATAATCACGATGAACAGAAAGTTCTAAATGGTTTCATTAATTCACTAGTACAGTTTTTGTGTGTCAAGGTTACATACAAAGCTCAGTTGCCATGTGTACAGATTATTCAACCCAAACTTACTTTCTTCTGAAGGGCACAGTGGAATATGAAGATAAACATTCCTTGGAAGGCGTTGAACACTGTGAAGAGGTACGTCATTACAATAGTCTCCTCATTGATGTACAACAGACCAAAAGACCACGTCAGCCCCAGGAGACACAGGAGTGCAAACGCCCCAAGAACCCAGGACCTAAAAACAGATAGGACTACGTCAGTGGTCATGAACATAACACTTACATTTAGACACCGAACAGAGGCGATTGTGATTATGGCTTCCAATCAGGCTTTGGCATTGTACGAGTCTGTTCATAAAGTCAATTAAAGACAATACAGGCTACTTTCTCAATGACGTGAGCGTCATCCTTGAAAGAATATACTGTTCCAAGCGGACGTCGGATCAAACAGGAAAATATGTATCAATATATACACGACTAAGCTGCATTTGCTGTCATTGTTAGCAAGTTCATAGAGCACAAAAGAACCAATACAGACAGTTTGATCAATGCCAAATAGCTTGCATATATGGAGTGAACGTTTTATGGTAAATCCATTGTTTTTAAAATAGAAAATCAAGTAAGGAGAAACTTAAAGGAGAAGATATGGTATCATTAAACACTGATTTATGTTAAAAAAAATGCTACTTATAACATTCAATACTATACCTATTAATTTGCTTTTTATTGGACATTTTTTGTATTTGTCTGCATTATTCTAAAGGCAGTTTCAACACGCACACACACACACACTACTCATCAAACCACAGGCGACCTCAGCTACTAAACTGAATTAAAATTAAATAACTAGCAACCAATAACATTTTTTTCAGTGTGAAACCTGCACTGGAAAAATGGTTGCCGAATAATCACTAACACAATCTAACACGATGCAATAAGAAGCCGCAAATGCATAGTTGGTCTTGAAGATATACAGTTTAAGTCAAATTTATAGCGCTTTGTCCATACTTTCTTTATGTTGTCCAGGACTTAAAAAAAAGAAAAAAAGAAGTATGGTATAAAAAACTGCATATCAGTAATTTTAACCTTGGCCTCTGAGAAAAAAAAATAGAATGTTTACGGTGCTCAATATTTCAAGCTTACACACACAGAACTGGACAAGTCAGAAGAATGATTCCACTCCCACACTGTTCTATTCTGAGGGCTCTATAGTATTTGACTTAAGGTGAGATGAATTGGAAAAAAAAACACATCAAGGGTGCACCCTAAATTAAGAATTAAAAATGTATCTGTAAAATAAAGATTTGCAATAAAACTTGACCCACATTGATATATTTTTCTTTTGAATTCAGTAACAGTTTTTACATTCCAACTGAGTTCCAAATAAGTGATGTGAGATAACTGGTCTCACTATTTTCCTGATACAGCGTCTCAACCCAAACACCCCCCCCCCCCCTCCAAATAAGCAAAAGCAACCCAACCCTTCACTATACACAAGTAGACCAGAAGGCCTCACACACTGGATGTTTTTTTTCTGCTGCTTTTAGGTGTGTCTGGCTTTTTTTAAAACGCCCCCCTGCCTCTAAACGCCCATACATGTTAAGGCTTGTACACATGGGCTGAATATCGCCCGATCAAAGGAACCGGGATGATATTCGGCCTGTGTGTAGTGCAGCTAATCTGACAGAAGCCGGTCTAAACGACTGGATTTTATCAAATGGACATGCTGGAAGCCAATGGAAGTGAGCACTAATCAGCATGGTCTGGGTGGGGGTCAGCCCCCCTGTCAGAGCACAATAGCTCGGGGGGGGGGGGGGAAATTACTGCATTGCTTAGTTAGTACAGGAATCTCACAGTTTTTCTTCATTCAGCCCTCTGAGTTGAACTAAAAAAAAAACCAAACAAACAAAAAAAAACTCCCCGTGTGTACCCCGCATTAGCCTATGTACCATGCACACACAGGTTTTTAGAGGAGTTTAGAGGCAGAGGTATTTAGTGGCAGAAAAAAACCCCCACTGCTGGCACATCCAGGACCAGCAGCATTTTCTCAGATAAAAAAAAAACACTTGACTCCTGTAAATGTGTCTAAACATGCCTAAGTGCTAATCGTGTTTAGTGCTTGATCTTTTCTTTTTTTTTTTTTTTTCCCATTTCAAATTTTTTGCATTTTTTTTTCCCATGACCATAAAAAATGATTGTTCTGGCCAATGAAATGAATTAATGCCCAAGCGCTTTGATGCGCATGAACGCACCTAAATGTGTTACAAGCATTTACAGGAGTTAAGCATTTCCCAAAACACTGCTCCCAGGAGGAAAGGCATCTAGGAGAGAGAGCAAAACATCTAGTGTGAATGTGGCCTAATTGTTTTTAATACAATAGTTTTATTCCAACATCCCTGACCACCCACGAATGTTATTAAGCAGCCTTTTTTGCTATAAATCAAATACCATTTTTTTAGGTTAGCAAAATAATATTTCTCTGGGTTACAGATGCTTTAAAAGAAATTGGTCAAAAGGGAATTCCTGGGGATTCACAGATCAACTCAACAAATCTAGGATCTAATTTACTTCTCAATTCATGATGTCTCATCACAAAAAGCTGAAATGAATATTAAGAAATATACTGCATAAGCAATGACGCACATCCTGACAACACAAATGAGAAAGAAAAGAACACAAAAAAAAAGTTCATGATGAATGGGAAGTAAGAAATAAAACCAGCAAGGAGGGGCATAAAATTGCCATGTGTGACCCAACTAAAAAAATGAGCAGAGGAAAATCGAATGGAGGACAAGGAAGATTTGAGTTAGGGCATTCCACATCTAGCTAATGGTCTCTTACTTGATAAAAGGCTTATTATCTTCATATCTAGAGAGCATTACAAGCAGAGGAGAGAAATCAGATTGTTAGAGACAGAAGTGGAGCAGAAAGAATGGAGCATTTTTTTTTTATACACAAGGCAGAATTAGGGAGGAAGAAAGTAAAAAAAAAAATATAAAAGGCATTGTTCAAATGATAAATTTTATCAGGGGAAGTTTTGTAAAAGGGATTGTGTAGATCCTATTAAAAACAACAAAAAAAAAAAATTAAGGAAAAGTCATGCTGCAACTGTTAATGTAAGGATTCACCTTACCCAGGTAAGTCTGTATTATAGTAGCCGTCACATACACGATAATTACTGGAGTGGATGAGACAGAGGTAGGAAAAAAAAAGGGAAAGATAAAGAGAAATGCTAAAACAAAAAGCTCTCCTAACATGCAACATGCATTGGAGGAGCACATTAGTCAAAAAACTGCTAAGTACACACTTCCCTGTGTGACTAAAGATTATGACTGCCCACCTTCCACAAAATTCTCTCTTTAGTAGACATCAGGGCAGGGTACTAGTGACATTTATAAGAGCTGCTATCATTTTCTGCTCGACACTGAATGCTCACCTACCCTCTCTTTCCAGAAGTTATTCCCTTTATCATTTGGTGCTGTATAAACTCAAAACCAGATCAGCCACCAGGCAACCTAGGTCTTGTGGATGTCCAGGGGGCCCTATTTCCATGCTCCTGCAGTAAACCGGAGGATAGCATATTTGGTTAAAGCTGTGCATCTGCCTGCCAATTCACAAGGGAGGATTTTCTTTTGGACATTTGGTGTTTGACGGGGTGGGTCATGCCACTAAAGACATGTGCACATTATGTGTCTACTCTATAACTATTGCAATCATTATCAATGTCAAAGGGTTAGAGGACAAATGGGGACGATGATCCCATTCTGCCCTAATCCTTCGGTGTCATGAGATGTCACATCAAGATGTGTTTGAGCAAATGGCTTCAGGTGCAACATGTCACCTTAGAAATGCCCTGCACTACCTATCACCTAGGCCAGCCTTTCTTAATCTTTTCGACACAGAGGAACCTATGAAATAAATTTCTGGTCTCAGAGAACCCCTGCTAAAAAATTCCTATATCTACAACTCCTGATACATTAGTGTGATGGTCAGTGGGAAGAAAGCTCCTTACACTTGTGGTCATTGGGCAGAATTACCTCCTTACAGATCACTAAAAAAAAAAAAAAAATATCACTGGTGTCAGTGAGAAATTATCTGGGAGGCAGAACTTTCTCATTGCTCAAGGAACCCTCAGCTACCTTTGAAGAAACCCTAGAGTTCAATGAAGCCCTAATCTAGGCATTGGCTTCTATGTATAGGATATCGTATGTACTCTCCAGCGCCTCAGGCACAGCCAAAAGGGAGGCCAAGGGTACCAGGACAGCGATAACCTAAAGGAAATTCTTCACGTGTGCAGCCCTTCTCAGATGGGGAAATCAGCCACTGGATAGAGAGAAAACAGGTGGCGCACACACCTAGTGCATTATCCAAGGTTTATTGTAGGAGTGAAAGAATAATAAAAATAGCACCAACATGCCATTTTTAAGGCCAGCTCCATCTACATCTGATACTTTTGCATGAGAGCAAGTAAGCCATATCATATGCTACGTCCTTGTATTTCTCGACAACACATGAAGCGATATATCAGCACTACAACTCCCAGCTTTGCCTAATGGTTGTGCATAGGGCACAGCAAAATATTGCATCAATACCGCCTAAGGAATTCCCCATAATGTTAAACAAGTGCAGCTTTGAACCAGAGAGGCACCTCTGTTGTAGTCTAGTAGGAGGGTGTGGAGGTACAAACTGCTGTGGGGAATGTCCCTTACTGGAAACATAGGAAATAAAGGATGTTGGCCTGGTGATATAACACCCCAGTAACCCTGTGAATTCAAAATGGCAGTTTTGTTTGGTGTGTGCGCTTAACCCCAACCCAGCTAGTGATGCAACTTCTAATTACATAATAAATATCTCGCTTTCATGCTACAATTTATTCACTACCAGTATTGACTTGCATAAAGAAGACTGGTGAGATCTTAATTTTGAAGCAGAGGTAAGGGCTATGTGCAGTCTGAGCCCTTGCCTGAAAAGTCAGATGAACCAGCTGTTAGGGGAGCTCCAGTCAAAAATACCATAGAGCTGTCTGAATGACTTGAAGATATTGGCTCAGGCTTCACACAGCACATCTATGGTAGTTAATGAGCAGAGTGCTAACAAATAACTGCAGAAACTAAACAGAGGGAGAGTTTTATTTCTAGAAAACCACTTGACAAAAAAAAAACCCTTTAATTTTCAGTCTTTGTGATCCTATTTTTGCAAAGTAAATCTTGGTCTCTGCTTTCTCACTCCTCAATTTTTCAACTAAAGAAAAAAAAATACATAGAAAGCCCCTGAATTTTTTTTTTCTTTTAACCACAAAACTATCACAATGCAACCATCACTTTCTAAAGGTCACACTATAAAAGAGCAGCTGTCAAATAAGGGGCTCCTCTAGTGTACAAAACCTTCCTTTCTGTAGATTTGAAGTGGCATTGGGATTAAAGCAAACATTTGTTTAATTAGTCACACACAACAGATAATCTGCAAGTTAACATTAGTAATAAAGAGTCAATTCTCGCAGGAGAGCTGGATTACAAGTGAGAAGTACTTCAAGCCCTACATCACAAAGTCATTTAACAAAACAAACCTCACATAATCATGTCAGCCTTGTGGACGAGATCATCATTTTAAACTGTGCTTTAAATGCAAATGAAATTACCCTGTTGCTATGCAGTACTTTAATTTATTTACGCAATTTAGGAGCGTCATTTCGGCGAAGGCATTATCTCTGGACACTGTGTAAGTAGCAGCACGATGGTATCCGGCCTAATCGCACAGCGACATCTTTACTGCTGACTGATAAACTGCTTAGTGGTTATTGCAGAATACGCTGTATCCATTGGAAGAAGCGGGTCACTTACTTAATGTTTTCCAAACGACTGGAATCTGGCTTTAAAGAGTTGGAATGCTTCACCATTTTGCACAGTGTGATCACCAAGAAAATAATGTTGACCTGCATTGGGGGAAAAAAAAAAATGAATAAACATCTGAAATGATACAAATATCTGAATATAGCTGAATTTAAAGTGAATATAGGGACCCCCCCACCCCCCCAGAATTCCCAATATTTTATCCCTTAAAGATCCTTCAAGTACAGAAAAATATCAGCTGCTCTGCTAGAAATCCAAATCGACTCCAAACGTCCTGTCTGAGCCATCAACATAGTGCCCTTTGCGGTACTGAAATCACAATCAGCATTGTCAGCCCCGCCTGCTGGACTAGAAGAGTCCCCCCTTTCCTAAGGAACAAGTAATGTCTGAACACACACTTTAACAGAAACTACAGCATTTTTACAGATGTAGCTAGATTGTTGGGTGGATCAGATTCAATTAAAGTGTTACTAAACCCACAACAGTAAAATCAGCCTGTATATGCAGTAAAGCATGCTTGGCATACTCACTGAGGAACCTAAGGGGTTAATCCTCTGCATTGTGTAAAAGTGCTATTTCATCCTGACTTCTCCAATCCTCCCCTTCTTCCAGTGCCCCCTCTTAACTCCTGACAAGACATATCGTGTGGAGACACTCTGCACATGCTCAGTTTGGGGTGTATTGCTAGAGAGATTTTTTTTCTTTCTTGGGAGAGTGCATGTGGTCAGCACAGGGCCAATCAGCACTGTCCAGACAGAAGTCAGGGGTTCTGCATCCTCCTAGAGAAAACTCTTCCTGCAAGTTTTAACCAGTGCTCTGCTGAACACTGATATAAAAGTCACAGGACTGCTCTAACTGCTGATGAGAAAAGGTATTTATCAGTTTATATTTACTAAAATAATTGCATTTTCCATGTTCTGTGTACTGTGGATGATCAGACAGGGTCCCGGGTTTAGTAACACTTTAAAAAGAAACTTGAGACGAACAAACAACTGTGAAGTATATGATTCAATTACATACTGTATATGTTTTAAATGTTTTATGCCAAAGGATTTGTGATTCTGAACAGTCTTGTGATTTACCCAAATTTTTCACAATACAGAGCCAGACAGGTGACACAAAGTTCCCAATCTATCAATATGTCTTCTTCGGTCAGCATTTTCCTATGTCACTTTACCTCACTGCTTGAAGTAGGAGATTGGTGGGGTCTGGAACCTTAGGGAGATATTCATTACTTGGGTACTAGTTATTGTATTTGACAAAAAATATACAGGTGGTATCCCTATGGGGCATCTAAGTGATGAGTGGGCTGCTTTCGTCAACTGAGGAACTGGAACAGTAGCCCAGGACTGTAAAAATGAGGAGTGTGAAAATCGAAGCGTCATACCAAGGTTTAGACTCAGAAATTAGGTTTTATTCCAAACATATGGCAGTCAACATGTTTCGGGGAAGCTGCTGAACTATTTTTGAGTGTTCACAACAGAGTTTAAGCTTTCAGTGTGAGTCCCTACCAGTGGATACGGTTTGTTTTAAGCCCTGATGAAGGGGACAATACGATCCACCAAACGCATTGGCTATAGCAGCCGCCATATGTTTGGGATAAAACTTCCTTTTGGACTCTAAACGTTGGTGAAACACTTATTTTCACACTCAAACATCACTTCTCCTCAATGGACAGTGGACAGACACCATCCCCTCTGACCAGTGAGCTGAACCAGGAAGGTGATGCCAAACCATGAAAAAGCAGAGTGACCTTACTGACGAGCAGGGGATAGTATCACAAAATCGCCAGCCTAAATGACATATTTAACCATCTGATGGCCACACACAACACAAAAAAAAGCCTTGTGTGGCATTTGCCATTAACCTGCACCCAAAAACTGCAGTTAGGATCGGATGCTGAGATATAACACCCCCATTTCTTACCATTTTCCTAATGTGTTCAGCTCTCACCCAGAAAGGCAAACTTTGCAAATCCTCATGCATGTTCAGCAATTCTGCTAAGTGGCAAGATTGCAACATGCGCCAGGCCTTTTAACTTATTCTGACAACAAATGTCAGTAAATTGAATGTGTACTTCCATATTAATTAACTCTCGTTACAGCAGGGGTTGATGTTCTCATGCCATGCTGAATATGCAAGTCAAAAAAGAGAGAAACATGCATGTCTGTTCTTCCAGGGAGAAAACTGTCTCTGCGATCAATATTTAAACAAACTTTTAAAGCAAAAATGATATTCTAAATAATGTATTGCTTTGTCTAATTTTTGCAGTGGAATTTCTGCTGTAAAAATGCCTCAGCACTAGTATTTCCAAGACTTGAAGGGGAAAAAAAAAATACAAATTTAGAACTGAGCTGAACAAGGCTTAGAAAATATCACTTGCTTCTATGACCCTCTTCTGAGTTCTGAAATCCTGACCCTCTTCCCCTCTGAAGACGGGTGAAAGTCTTACTCTAGGCACTTTAAAGTTCATGTTCCTTCTGCTCCTTTCTTCCAAGCTAACTGTCTGACGCCTAAAATCTTCAACACCTAATCCGTGGGAGGAAGAAGGTAAAGCAATCTGAAATTACTTGTAGGACAGAGGAACAAAATGAAGGAGAATTGCTCAAAAAGGAGAAATGTAGCAGCCCGGTCACACTAGATGTTATGGCAATGCACCCATATTTCAGCAATACATGAGTGTGCTAAAGGTAAGCCGTGTTAGGAAAGCCTTTTTTTTTTCAATGCAACCCATACCATGTGGTGCGCTGAAGTGTATAGCCCACTACCATGCCAGTGTGTTGGAATACCATACAAAATGACTGGCACTGCAACACACTGCAGTATTGTGCAATAAAAAGGGTGTTATATGTAGAAAATTATGTGGAGAAGTTCTGTTTTTGTCAACACATATATATTTCCTTATTTCTCAGTAGACACCATCATTTTATGTATAAATAGAACAAAAACACTCCCCTTTTTAAATGCCAGGTGAGCCAGGGAGACCATGAATGAGACTTTGGATGTTCCACTGATAAATCACACAAAAAAAATGATGAAATAATCAATTTTTATTCAATAAAGATAAAAACAATAAATTCATGTATACAGGTTGTCTTTCAGTATTAAGGCGTACAGGAGCAATGTGTTTCCGCAAAGGGTTCGCTTCTTTAGGAGACACGCCTTAATTGTTTATTCTAGATCATGAAATTTACTAATTATTGTGAATTTATTGTTTAAAAAGGTGTTTTGTACCTTATTGTTTTTCAGCTTTATGGAATAAAAATGGATTATTTTATAATTTTTATGTGATTTCCCGGTGGCACGTCCCATCCGTGGTCTCCCTGTCTCGTCTGCCGTTTAAAAATGGTGTTTTTATTCTAAATGGGTGTTACTGCAACATAGTCTTGTGAATAAGTTCTGTGGATTCCACTGGAACAAAATGGGGTAAGCTTGCTGTGATTTTTGTGCTTCCACAGTAATTTCAGGTAGCTTTACTGTCTACTTCTCACACATATTTTGAAGATATATAAATACATATACATACAATTTTTGTTTTAAAAAAACTATATGTAAGGATCCCCAATGCAAAAATTGTCTCCTTTCAGTCCTAATATCTCTTATTGAAACCAAAGTCCATAAAACATGTGAAAAGAGGTCTAAAGCACCACCTAGTGGCAGGAATGTAGAATACAAAATATTAGTGTAAAAGACAAAAAAAAAAATATATATATATATATATATATATACATATATATATATATACACACACTATAATAAAGTATTGGGATGCCTGCTTTTACACGCACATTAACTTTAATGAAATCCCAGTCTTAGTTGGTAGGGTTCAATTTTAGTTGGCTCACCCTTAGAAGCTATAACAGCTTCAAATTCTTCTGGGAAGGTCGTCCACAAGGCTTAGTGGTGTGTCTATGGAAATGTTTGACCATTCTTCCAGAAGAGCATTTTTGTGAGGTCAGGCACTGATGTTGGAAAAGAAGGCCTGGCTCGCAGTCTCCGCTCTAATTCATCCCAAAGGTGTTCTATCGAGTTGAGGTCAGGACTCTGTGCAGGCCAGTCAAGTTCCTCCACCCCAAACTCGCTCCTCCATGTCTTTATGGACCTTGCTTTGTGCACTAATGTGCAGTCATGTTGGAACAGGAAGGGGCCATCTCCAAACTCTTCCCACAAAGCTGTGAGCATGAAATTGTCCAAAATGTCTTGGTATGCTGATGCCTTAAGGGTTCCCTTTGCTGGAAACTAAGGGGCCAAGCCCAACCCCTGACCCAGAGCTGTAATTTTATGTGGCCTACCACTTTGTGGCTGAGTTGTTGTTATTCTCAGTTGCTTACACTTTGTTAGAATACCAACAGTTGAGCGTGGAATATTTAGTAGCAAGGAAATTTCACGTATGGACTTCATGCACAGGTGGCAACCTATGACGGTACCACGCTTCAATTCCCTGAGCTCCTGAGAATGATCTATTCTTTCACAAATGTTTGTAGAAGCAGTCTGCATGCCTAGGTGATGATTTTATACACCTGTGGCCATGGAGGTGAATGGAACACCTGAATCCAATGATTTGGAGGGCTGCCCCAATATGTTTGACAATGTAGTGTGTGTGTGTGTGTGTGGATATATATCTATATATATATACATATATATATACACAATACATATATATACACACACACACACACACACACACACACACACACACACACATGTATTTCACATGTCCTACTTCTGACCACAAAAAAAAAAAAGATATAACTTTTAAACATTTTCTGCAACAACAACCTTCCTTTCATTTAAGTGCCTTAAATGGCTGAAAGCTGCGTAGCCTTTACTATTAACTGAGCATTTTAATATTCATGGTGTGTTTATTTTTACAGCTCTGAATATGATTCACATAAGTATTTTTTTATTACTCGACAAGCCCTGCTCCTGGCTTGGGAGTAAGTACAGTAGTAAGTGCCAAAATGTCCCTCACTCATCTTAATGTGTGGGTGTTTTCAGACTAATAAAATATGGAAAAGTATGTTCTGTTTTTTTTTTTCTTGCTGTTTACAGGTCCTCTTAAAGCAATCCTAGACACGTTAAC